AACCCCCCCATCCCCAAAAGTTTCTCAGCGGATTTGGGCTGTACTCAGCAAGCGCAGTACAGCTTCCAACTCAGATCTGAAAAAAAATTAGTGGATGGTTGTTTTCTGACTGGTCGGCAGACCGCCGACCGGTCGGCCCTACTGGTCGGCTGCAATACGGTCGGCGGTCGGGGTCGGCGGTCGGCAGGGATGCAACCATGTCGACTACATAATAAAGATTGCAAAACAGCGAAATAAAAGTAATGACCAGGTGCGAAGGGAACATAACTGTCTTTTTAACAAACAAAGCCTCACAGTCAGGGAGGCTCTGACCATTATGCTCTACAGCTGGGCAAAGCGCTAGCTTGAGCCTACCTTCACGCACCTCCGTTACTCTTTAGGCAATTGTGTTAATCTAATCGCGCTTGGAAATGAAAATTGATAGGTCGAGTACCGACACTTGGATAAATAAATCCTGAGCCTGGAGTCACAAAGTGTTGATTAGATCCCAGTCGAAAAGCTTGAGCTTCCAGTCGCCAACGCAGATGCAGATGCAGATGCAGATGCAGATGCAGATGCAGATGCAATCCACCAGATACGAATACACTCACCAGATAAGAATGATTCTGTCTCAAGCAGCATTCACAGACACTCGTCGCAGAAGACGAAATACTTATGTGCACGTGTGCATGGACAGGCAGGTAAACCATCCACGTTAAACACCACAGAACCACTTCATTGCACAGTAATAGACTGTGCAGAATGTACACTGAAAGTGGTTCTTTGGTGTTTAATCGCTTCATTAAAGTTCATGTGGTTGTTTAAACTTTAAACACCCAATAACCACTTCATTACACCGTAATAGACTTCCTGTTATTTAGTTTTTATAGAACTTCATTGTACAATGCAGTGGTTGCTTGAGGTGTACATTTTACAGTTTAAAGTTTAAACAACGGTCTTGCGTGCTATACAAGAAAGATATGTTTCGTATTTCTCTTCCAGGTGACCACCTAGTGTGTGGGAGTGTGTGTGTGTGTCGATGTTGTCATGTTCGCCATACACAACTCCACAAAAAAAAAGGATGACTGTGCCACACTGTTTCGTCCTGGGTATACAAATATGGATCATGCACGTCCTTCCCCTTTACAGAGGATGTAGAAATACAAATCATGTATGTCCTCCAAGTCTGCAGAAACTCAGGCTCATAGAGACAAGAAGGAACCACAGGCGAGGTGGAACTGCCATCATCGACTCCTACGATCAAACATGGCAGGACCCCCGCAGGCTGTTCAGCGGATTGGACGCAGGACTGAACATCCTATGGAAGCCCTGGAGGTCCTCAGAGCATACCTGGATGAGAAAGCCCACAAAGGACTTCCATATCACATACCTTCGACTGACTTCATCCTACTCCCGCACCCCCCAATGCCCGCTCCGCCATACCCCCGCCCGCTTACCTTGCCTCCCCCTCCCTCGCCCACCCCCCAACATTCCCTGACCCTACCAGGTATGACAGGCACAAGTGGTTAACCGCGACCCCCACTTTCAGCTCCTGAGTAACGCGCTCCTCCGTTAACCGCCTCTCGCTGAAGGGCCAGCAAGGAACGCAAGCAAGTGCAATGAAGTGATCAAAGCTCATAAATCATTAAACCGTAATGAACAACAAAAAATAAGCACTTCATTACACAGTAATAGACACACACACACACACACACACACACACACACACACACACACACACACACACACACACACACACACACACACACACATCACCTTACCCAACAGGTTCTCCCATTCACTCAATTTCAAACTAACGGAACTGTTTATGCACTTACCTCCCCTCTCCTACCCACCTAATTCTCCCTCCCTCTGTTCTTAGTGTCCCTTGCCTACTCACTCATCAATAGAAATCTATGGTCAGGTGAAGTGGAGAGAAGGAGAATTTGTTCTAAGTTGTACCGCACCAAGCTGATCGGCTGAATTCAGCGTCCATAAAAACTGAGATTTCATAAAAGTTTAAAATCATGGGATTCATGTCCTTTGGAACATCACAGTCATTAACATTGGAACGACACAAGAGAAGATTAGCATGGTCCTTCCACAAGGTTGACACAGACAGATCAGGAAATGGTCCAAATTATTAAAAATAATAGTAAATTAATAATAACTATTAATAAGTTCATAATGAGATTCACACGCTTCATGCACTACTCTGCATCCATCGCTGACCACTCACGATATCCTATTTCCATCCATGGCACCCAAAACAGACAACGGCGATGGAGACGATGACAACGACGACGACGAGGACGACGACGACGACGACGACAACGACGACGACGACGACGACGACGACGAAGAAGAAGAAGAAGAAGAAGAAGAAGAAGAAGAAGAAGAAGAAGAAGAAGAAGAAGAAGAAGAAGAAGAGGAGGAGGAGGAGGAGGAGAAGAAGAAGAAGAAGAAGACGAAGAAGAGGAAGAAGAAGGAGAAGAAGGAGAAGAAGAGCAGAAGAAGAAGGTGGTTATATAAACAACATGTACAAACCTGTGTGAAAGGCTCGATCATTTCTGCCTCTGGAGAACTCATATCCCTTGCATTCCACACAAGAGACAATTGAACCTTGCCTAGACCATCCCCACCGACAGTACAAAGGGCATACACACAAAGAGAGACACACAGAAGCACACCACCACTGTTCAGCACTCCTCTGCTCTGCACATGGTGCTTTGATTCAGCAAGCATTGACGGATACAAGATTGCATCGCCAGTCCTCTGAAGACAGGGGAATAACAGCCGAAGAGGAAAAGTGGTATCGGCAGATGTAAGAGGAAAGAAACAGGGAAGTGCCCAAATTGAAAGACAGGAAGCATGAAAGCATCTCTGCGCTGAGCTGCATCTCGAAGTCCATGTAGTACAGGAATAGCATCTAAAGTGGATAGCCATTAACGTTATTGAATCCGTCAGGATTTGAACTCGTGATCTGTCTACTAACAGTTGTTACCTGTGTCTAGTACTGTCTACCATTCGGACGCTAGGAGGGTACAAGTCAATGGTGAGTCAGACGTTCCATTTTTTGCCATGGGTATAAAGTTCTATAAACTTATAAAGTCTCCTTTAAAAAATCCGTGTTCTCTGAACGAAAAAAGGAAAGACAAAACAAAAGGCGGAGAGAAAAGTACTGTGGTCCAAGGACTTCTGTTTCGCACTTCATTGGATAATTATTAATTACGCATTTCACTTTGCCTGCTTGCTCTTCGGCAAAGCCGATGATTCGGATTTGTGGAGCCAAAGGAGAGTGGGGGAAAAAATGTTTGCAAAAAGGGAAAACAAGTTGTCGAAGCAATAAAGTCTCTATTCAACCGTCTATTGAACCGTTTTTCTTTTTCCCTTTGACAGTTTGACTTAATTAAATTGAATTTCCTTTCTTTGAAATTCTTTCTTTTGGATGAAAGAAATCACTTCACCTCAAACACTCAAAAAATGAAACGCTTTCTCAAAATGGGAAAATCACTTGAGAGTTGGAATTTGCGAAGTGCCACGAACTGTGCAAATGGCAGCGACACCGAGCGACAAATTCAAAACCCTAAAATAGCAAAACCAAAGAACTGGATGTTAACTTTAATGAATAGCATCAAGCGCACAAGATACTAAAATAGCCAAACCAGCTTAAAGGCTGTCTCTTATACACATCTAGATGTGTATAAGAGACAGGCCTGGAGGTGACGAGCAGCTGGGCGCTCAGACT